GGGGGCGGCGTCCAGCCCTTCGCGGACCGCCGAGGGAGCCCCCGAGGCCGCGCGCGGAGCGGCGGAGCTGAGCACGCCCGCGGGCGGCGGGCCGGCGGGAACCGGACTGCTGCTGCAGGTTCCTGGCGTCTAGAAAGCCGGAGTCGGACGGCGCGGCTGCTGGAGCCGTTTCCACCTTGGAAGGGAAGACAAGTACTTCTCCGTGTCCCTGGTGTGGCTCTGACGCCCGACGGGAGACGTGGGTTTTCTTTAAGTGGAAGCACAGAGGAGATGAGGAGTAGAGTGAAACAGGAGTGGTTTGTGGTTTTCGGAGCTTCTGTAGGTAATGCTCTTGTGCTGCGTTATCTGAAAGCAAATATTTCAAGGTCTTACAGGGCACATAGCTGTGCTGGACCAATTTGCTACTTATTCTGAAAAGAGATGTGAACTTTTCACAGCACTTGCTTTTTCATTTTTTTTTTTCTCTTCCAGCAGTTAAGGGGAGCTTGGTTTGGCCAAAGCACGTGAAAAACTGTGTGTGTGAAAATACTTTTACTTCCTCTTGAGTTTTCTAAATTTGCCTGTGTTTCGTTTCTCTAGGCTTCTTGCTTAGTTCTGTTGTATAATTTTTAAAAATCCCCAGCGTCTTATCTTGGTGTTCATTTCTCCTATTTCCAGTTTCAGCCTCAGCCTCTGAAGCTCAGATATGGATTATTTTCTGTTGTTTAAGGGCAGTTTAAAGTTTGGAGGAAAAGTAGGAATGATTGGTAATGGGGGATAGTGTTTTAAGCACGAAGTATTATAAGCCAATTATCATTTCTCTCCGTTTTTGTACCCCTTGTAGAGTTCTCAGCAAGATGCACTGCAGGATCAGGGTCCAGCGGGTGCCAAGCTAGATGAGATTGTTGTTTTGATCTGATTTTGCGGTGTGTCAGGCAGGCGTGTTTGTTCTTCTTATGCAAAGCTCTTGAGTTTTCTGTCTTCAGAGTCCTTTAGGATGGTTGCCTTCCTGCCTCCTCTGAGCGTCCCTTTCCCCTGTTAAATTGCAGCCAGACTTTCCTGCCCTCAGCTTCTAGAGGAGGCCACACACATCCTTACCCTGAAACCCTCGGACATTTCTTTCATCACGCCGTCCTGCTAGGCACCCCTAGCCGTTCTTCAGGTCTCCTGGTTCTGCCCCTGGAATTCCCCTGATGTCCCAGCATAGCATCGATGTCCCTTCTGGACATTGCCATAATTTCACATACCACTTTTATTTTATTTATGGGACACAGCGGCACTCTACGCAGTTCAGACTTGTAATTCTCCTGTCTTGGCCTCCCTAGCTCCAGGATTACAGATGTGTGCCACCACACCCAGTTTCAGAGCCAGCATGGTGTGCCTGGAGTTCTGGGGATTGAATCCGGTTCCTTGTGCTTGCCAGGCAGGCTCTTAGCCGACCGAGCTATCTCCCCAGCCCATCGCTTGCTCTTGTATCATCAGATTGTCTGTTTCCTTGCCTGGAGTCCTTGATTCTCAGGGCCGGCTGTGGTTCCCATCACTGGCAGATGATCAGCCAACATCGCTCATTCCTGGCTTGTAGTTCTTACTACACTGTCGGGTGGTTGGGCCCAAGCATGGGAAAATGTGGACAGGATTAGTGGTGATTCATACTGGAACTGTAATTCTGGGCCTGACCTTTGACTCCGTTTGAGAGTCTTTATTGCTGGCTGCCCGTGGAAGCTGCAAGTACTACAGAGCTATTGAGGGTGTGGCAGTTCTGCACCCAAAGTCAGCACATCTGTTTCTATTGGGGAACCTGTGGCTTTCTTGTTGACTTCCTAGATATTATTGTGGTTTTTTTCCTACTTAAGTAACCATAAAGGACTGGAAAGGAAAAACAAAGGCAAGCTCGAATCCATACTTGGTGGAAGCAGAAGGCTGGTGGGCCCCAGATGCCGACTTGAGGGTGCATTTGGCTCAAGATGAAAGCTTGAGTCCCGTGGTCTGTCCAGAGAGGGCTATGTGCGTGAGTGGCACACCCTCTGGATCCCGCTTGTCAGTCTGTGGAATACAGGGCTCTTTGCAGGAGGTGTGCCTGCAAAGACTGGGAGTTAACTGGGGTTCCATGGGGCCCCCAGGTGGGAGGTTAGTAACCCCAGGAAGATCCAGCCCTCCAGTGCAGTGTGTTTGCAGTGGGTGGATGAGTCTCTGAGACAGTGGGACAGGCTTCTGAGGCAGTCTCGTAATGTGAGAGGCCCTAGGGAAGGCAGGAGGCCCTTTGGCCACCTGGTTGTTGAGCCACACATTGCACTGGATGTGGCGCTTGTTGAGCCCATCCTGCGCACCACTGTGCAAGGTATGTGAGAATCGAAGATGAATGGGACATAGTTTCTGCCCTGAAGGTGTGCAGTGGATATGGAGGGGAGATAGGCAAGCAAAAAAAAAAAATAAATAATAATAATAATAATAATAACTGCACACATGAGATAAAAATGCTTTAGGATGATGGCTGGAGCATAGAAGAGAACCTGCGGTGGCTGTTACTGGATGGAGGGAGGTAAGGGATACAAGTTGCTCCCAGGAGAAAATGTGAGCAGAGCCTTTAGATTTTTCTCTCACTGTTATGCACTTCTTTCAGATTTTTCTTTAATGATGAGGTCTCAGCAGAGTGTGATAGCTCACCCTGTAATCCCAGCATTTGGGAGGCTGAGGCAGGATGATTACTGTAAATTCATGGCCAACCTAGGTTACATAGTTCACAGCCAGACTAAATTCACTATAGCAAGACCCTGTATCAGAAACTCATGAAGATTAGGTCTCTTTTGGTCATAAGAAAACATAGTTCAAAGGTGTATTAGCAAAGAGGAATTCGTGAACTCATTATGTGGATAGAAGGGTTGAGGATAAGTATGGTTTTATGTCTGGCTGAATCCAGGGGTTCTACTCTTTAGGCAGGGCTGTGTGTCCTGTTGGGCTGTGTTCATGTTGTACCCCTGCCCCCATTCTCTATATTAGTCCCAGAGAAGGAAAGAATACTTCGTGACTGTGGCCAAAGTCCCAGGATGGGACAATCTTTCTGGGTCACATGCCTTCCCCAGGAAGCAGAGACATGTCGGCTCCACCCAGCCCATGCGGAGAGTGCAGCTCCCCAGGTTAAACTGGTGCTGATTCCAGCAGAAAGGAGGATGGTGCTGATCGGGCAACCCAGAGACAGGCTGGCGTGCTTTTTTTCACAGTCGTCTAGTGAAGAAAGAGATGTTCTGATTTTTGAAAGCCCTTTGGTGCAAATAATCCAGTGAGCACAAGTAATTCTTTGGAGGAGGTTTTCCTCTGATTGGAGGAAGGTGTATGCTAGGAAAAGGGCTTGAAGTGTCAAAGAGAAGAGGAGTTTGAGGGACATAACTGTACGGGCATGGTTCCTGACTCTGGGAAGGAGAGTCACCCCGGCTGTGTATTTCTGCCGTGATCAGAGTTTCTTCTAGGACCAGATAATTGCTTTCAGATAAGCCATGATTGTACAGCCAAATACCTAGAGGGCCAGGCTGCTAACATAAATGAACACTTGGGCCAGGTGAAGGCTGCTGAGGCCCCCGAAGGCCACTCAGTGTGGTCTGACCTCTGGAGTTTTCAAGAATAGTTGAAATGTGGATTTCAACGAACATTCCATGACTTTTAATTCAACTTAAACCACCACCATGGTAGTCAAAATACTTGGACGCCTGACATGGTCACTGATTGTCAACCACTTACCTAAAAGAACCTGGAAGGTAACAGTTCCAGGACCTTGCGTAGTGATGGTGGACTTTGGGGAGTTTTCAACGTTACATTGTTTGCTGTGACATGTGTGCCATAGGTTTACCACTACTGGTCTAAGACAGACAGACAGACAATTTGACTTCCTTCACCCCCTTGGCTTGCCTGCTCTCTAAGATCTAATGACTGTCCACAACAGAGAACTCACCAGCTCACAAGATAGTCCTACTCATAACTTGAAGCTCGAGTCTTCCCCGAGTCCACCCATATGTCGGCTGATCTCAGAGCAGTCTCTTCCCTGAAGCAGTCCGCCCTGTATCTGACTGTCCAGGATGTAGGCTAATTGCCAGTATTAACACGTTGTGTCTCTTAGCCACTCCACACCTTCGTGCTCACTCTGCCTTTTCCCTGGGTGCACTCTGACTAGCCTTTCTGAGAAGGGCCAGATAGCTGTCCTTAGCTGCAACCCAACTGGATTCCATTCAGTGTTGGCACGTTGCAGGGGTGGAAAAGTCTTACGTGTCGGTAGCGCCTTCTCAGTCTGATCTTCCATGACTTGTGTGATTTGTATGTTGTGAAAGCACAGAATATCAGATAAGGGTTTTTCCAGGGGAGCGAGAATCTGTTCTTTGGGGTTGAAAATGAATAGTAAAAGCATGTACAGCTTGCTACAGCAGTATCTTCATTTGTGCAGGCAGGGTGCTGTGCTGTTGCGGAATTTCCTCCCGGCAGAGGTTCTCGGGGTATGTGAGGGGGGCTTGGTGTACCATGAAAGGAGAGGGTCTCGGCCCAGTGTGTGCACTGTGGTCAGACCCCAGGATGTTTGCTGTGTCGTTCCATTTCTGTTTCTCAAGTGAAGGTAGATGCCGTAGCAATTAATCAAGTAAAGCCCATTTAAACGTAGTCTTAAGAGTCTTATCTGCTTTGTGTCTACTTTCTTCCTTAAATGTATTAAAAAACACAGTAGACCCATAATCTTGCTTCTGGAA